TAGGATATCCGTAGAAGACCGTTATATTCCTGTTATTCATGTGAAATCGTGTTGATTGAAACTGGTATTAATGCAACCAAACAATATTTGAACTATTCACGTGCGATATTTTGTTCGTATTTATTTCGAGCCATAACTCCAAATAGCAAATAAATGCCGAAATAGACAAAAACCCCGACGATATAAGAGATACTCCTAAAGGTATATTTTCGACAGATTCGTACCGGACGGGACGTAACACAGAATTGAGACAGAGATGGAATACGTGAAATGTTGTCAAATAAAACGAATCAAAACAAGTTCGATCAAAAACTCGAAGTAGTATTAGGTGGTCTATGGAGGTTAGACTAGAAGAAATATCAGAAATATCAAATATATGAGAAACTAAAATCGAAAGAATGACAGATTTAGGAGGAGACCTTAAAATTCCACAAACAGGAACGCGCACTTCGCGAACGTGATAAAGTAGTATATTTAATTGTTCGTTTAGAAAGCGAAAAAAATGAAAAAATTAAAATGAAAGTAAAATCGACCGCAACGATTTAAACGAAACGGAATATGAAAACAGAGTAGAGCCTATAATACGCATAGACATTATCTCGTTGACAGTGGATTCAATATATCAAGACATAAATTCTAACTTTGCTTGCTTATCTTCAAGATATAGGATTGGAAATTAAAAATATTTTATTGTCTTATGCTACCTTCTATTTATTTTGATGTATCAATGATGATCAATGATAGATCAAATAATTAATTCATCGAAAAATATTTTGCTGTGAGATCTTACGAATATGTGATCGAATACTGTCAGTGGCGGACTTTTAAGAGACCTCAGGTATTACAAATTTTTGGACCCATATTAAAATATGCCCCAAAAAATATCGATCTTTCATAACAAGAGTATTACGATTAAAATTTCATGACATACCAATTTTTTATTTTTATGTTCACTATTGTTTTGCTATTTTTTGTTATATTTTTACTATTATTTTAAGAAGCAAGATGAAGATATTAGAAATATATATTATTCGTTTGCTATCAATGTAGATTTTGTTATTTCTTTATAAAAAATATTCCAAATATCAAATATGTTTAAACCTAGTTTTACTTGTAGGGTACAGGGTACCATAGACTGAGCTCAATTTTAAATAATTAAATATTTGTAAATAGGACTTGTGCTGCCATTAATCTGTAGTTGAGATATTGTTATGAGTCGGACTAGAAAAGTTCTAAGTAAACTTGAAACTAGAAGATCGTTTCTAAGCGCCCAGAAAATGTGACTAATAATAACGGGTTATCATTTATCTTCTAAAGGAATTCTGCCAGAGAGGACGTGATATGCGAACGTTCCAACATATTCGGATATTTTTATTGAGAGAATTAATCTGCTAAACTGTTCATTATAAATAGCTTGTTCTTCTTTGTTGTTTATTAAAGTTCTTTTTCGTTGAAAAGCATGGTTGCATGTAACAATTTTGGAAGTTCATCTGGGACATAACGAAACATATCTTCACGAAACAGACAGGAAAATCGGCGAGGAAAAGAAGGAAGAGAGAAGAAGATACACACGCTCTCTCTCCAAGAGCTCCAGGGGAACTTAAACAACAACTGAAGGAACTCGAAGTGGAGAGGAGGCGGAATGATGAATTTGTTGCGCGAACAAAAATTCGTCTCTGTTTTTTAGAAGAGGAATCATATCAGATAAGTATTAGGTGTACCAGTTAGTTCTGTTCGTTCCGATTACAAGATTCAACAAGTATGCGCATATTCATTTGACGCATATTTGGCTCTCTCTTTTTGTCAATGAATTTATACATACTAACCTAGCGAATGAACTAAAACAAAGATGATTCATTTTAGTATTAAGTGAGATGCGGCATTGTACCCATGGCTTCTGATAAAGTTCATTACTGTATTTTGAATGAATTCCAACAAGGAAGAAATGTTATAGAAGCATGAGGAAATTTATTGAAAGTATTCGGTAAAAATACAGTTTCTGATAGAACCTGCAGAATATGGTTCAAAAAATTTGAAACAGGTGATTTCGACCTTTCTGATAAATCACGCTCTGGGCGACCATCTTTGATCGACGACTTTGACGATACTGTCAAGATCATGTTAAAACAAAATCCTTTTTTGACAACATTGGAGATTGCGAATAGACTTAATTCAGTTTAACAAATCATTCCGAACCATATTGGGAAACTAGGGTTGATATGGAAATATTCGAGATGGGTGCTACATGAGTTAATCGAGAAGAATTTGAATGATCGAGTCATATTATGCACATTTCAGTTTGCACGGAACAAATTCGTACCCTTCTTGGACCCGATGATAGCTGGGGATGGAAGAGTGGACGAAAACATCGTAAGGAAAAGGGCATATAGTGAACCCTGAAAACCTGCTTCCTTCACTACTAAACCTAAGTTTAGCCTGAGTAAGAGAATATTGTGTATATGGAGGGACATTTAAGCATCAATATATTTGGAGCTGCTGAAACTGAACGAAAAGCTAAATTTGAGGTATTGTCAGCAATTGGATAATTTAAAAACAGCACTTCAAGCAAAGAGGTCGGCGATGTTCAATAAGAAGGACATCATATTGCTTCATGATAATGCCAGGCCACTTACTACTTTGCGGACTCGCAGAGCTCCCCGGGCTTAGCATTCTTCGATTATCACTTGTTTCTGTCCTTCCAAAATTTTTACAGGATAAAAAATTTAAAAAGGAAGAAGATATCAAACAAACACTGGTTCAATTTTTCGCCTCTAAGAATAAGGCATTTTTTAAAAATGGGATATACAAATTGCCATCACGCTAGCAAGAAGTAATGATAGTAATTATATTATTCAATAAAGTTTATTCAAGGGGTGAAAAATTTATTATTTTATTTTCTTCTAAAAACAAACAGAACTTTTCAGTAGACCTAATATTAGTAATCAGATTAGGGGGATTTCTCTGTTGGGATGAATGAAATAAATTTAGTGCAAAGGAATGTGAGAAATTTTGAAAATCCTTTGCTGAAATCGAACCGTTTGTTAGGTGAAAGAATGAATATAGGTCAAAATGAAAATTCGGGAAATTCTACTGAAAATTCAGTAGTTGAATTAGGTTATCCAATGAAGTCGAATAATAACAGAAGTTAAATTGTGTTAAAAAAATTTAATACAAATGAATGAATAATTAAAGCTTTTAAATAACTGATTTAAATATAGCGCAAAGGCAGAATGTGTAAATATGGACCTCCCATCCTTATTTTCTGGCATGGGTAGTCAAATTCCGTGCTAAGAGACACATTGTGGACGAATGTCGGCAAATAGCCGCCCAAGTCTTTCTACCGTTGCGAACGAGTGTCGGTATATAGCCGCCGAATTTTCGCGCTGTGGCTGGCGTACTTCTGTCGTCCTAAATGATAAGATACGCATGGGTATACTAGCCTAAGAAGTCAAGATGCCTCTCAATGAAATTAGAAACTTTGTAGTGATGAAATTTGATCTTCCGTATAATGCGAGACCATGGTAGGTTCAGAAGGAATTTCAGTTTGTCGAGTCAGTTTTTCAGTGTCAGTACGAGAGAAACAGCAAAGTTTTCCACATATTTTATATCTTATAACATTCTATTCACGATGGCTAAAAAACCCAGAGATGATACATTCAATAGTGACAGTACTTATGAGTTCCAGTTTGAATCTGACAACACAGAAGATTACGACATTGTTTCACCCAGTGGAATCCTTGCAACGAGGAACCCACTCAGACGTTTCAATGAGGGCAGTGATAGTAGCAGTAATGAAGAAACGAATATTCAGGAAAATGATAGCAGTAGTGATAATGAGCGGACGAATGTTACAAATCACGATATCATTTCACAAAAAATACAATTTAGATCTGAATTACGAACGCCTGGTTCACAACTAAATTCAACATACAGAACCATTAGATTTCTTCAATTCGTTCTTTACCGATGAATTGATCAGGAAAATAGTTGAAGAGACTAATCGGTACGCAAATCATATTAGATTGAACGAATAAGTATTATACACGATAATCACTCGACACCAACGGGGCGGACACAAAGGTGTTACAAAGACTTACCCAAGAATCAGACAGAAATACTATTAGCCGAACCTGAAAAGGGACATACAAAATTTCATACAACAATGCAAAAGCTGTCAGACGAAAAAACTTGTCAGACTAAAAACTCACCAACCAATGACTATCAATGACACGCCGGGAAGGCGTTCGATAAAATATCCATGGATATCATAGGTCCATTATCGACCACGAAATCGGGGAAAAATTACATTTTAACTATACAAGATCTTCTTACGAAATATTCTATAGCAATTCCTCTTCGACAGGCTTCTTCGGAAGAAATAGCAGACGCGTTTATAAAAAACATGATATGCCGATTTGGCTCTCCAAAAGGCATTTTAACCGACCAGGGTATTAACTTTCTGTCAGAACTAATGAAAGCAATAACTAAGAAATTTCAAATCCATCAATACCAGATAAGCGGGTACCATCCACAGTCAAACGGTTCAATCGAACAATCGTATCTCGTTTTTATAGAATTTTTAAAGCATTTCATTACCGAGAATAGTGAATGGGACGAATGGATTGAAATAGCTATGTTTTCGTACAACACGAGTGTACACGAAGGAACATTATATATACCGCATGAATTAGTATTCGGTCAATAAGCACGAACACTTAACGAAACTACATATAACGACCTACAAAACGAAATATACGCACATTACTTAGGAACTTTAAATGAACAAATAAATAAATCTCAAGTAGCCGCAAAGCAAAATCTAATCAACGCTAAGAATAAGTCGAAGAAGTACTATGATAAAAAACAAAAAGTCGCAGATTTTAAGGAAGGAATAAAGTGTACCTCCTAAAAGGGTCGCAAAAAGGTAAATTTGACGACAAATACGTAGGACCCTTCGAAATATTAGAGATATTAAACAAACATAACATAAAAATACGTACTGACATTGGCGACCGCGTGGTACACGCCAATAGACTTAAAATCGATAAGTCAAAATAGTAGTCGACATCATGAAAAATTATAATACCGACAAATGGATTTTTTCAGCGCAACATGGCGCGACGATCGCTCTCACTTCCATGATGACGGTTGGTAAAGGTGGTGCCGCACCATAGACTAAAAGCTAGAATATAAGAAACTGTAAATGTACCAACGGCATCAGTAGCCTTTTCGACGCTCTACGTTATAGAATAACTCAAAGGTCGACACACAATGTACTCCATGAAAACTTCTATTCTTATACTTACCTTAGTAAGAGTAACGCTTAGTAGGATGGTTTTGGGGAAACTCAGGCCTTATACCCCACCAGTAACTGAAACCCTGGAGGATCAGTTACTGGAGAATATCCTCTCTGAACTATTCCCAGGAGGACCGGGAACTGATGAGCCGAAGGAACCTGCACTCTCAAAGGTGATTATCTCTGCAGAGGAGGTCTTGGTTGCCGCCAGGAAAGGAAAAGGAAGGTAGACTCCTGGACTGGATAGGATACCAGGTGTGGTTATGCGTGCTGCGCCGACACACTGTGGGAAAGGGTTGGCGGAGTGCTTTTCCGCATGCTTGAGGACAGGAAGGTTCCCGACAGCGTGGAAGATAGCAAGTCTCGTACTGATCAAGAAGAAAAGGGACGCGCCCCCGGACTCACCGGGATCATATAGACCGATATGCGTGATTGGAGGAACTATTCGAGCGCATAGTTGTTAGCCGGATCAACAGCTTCTTAGAGGAGACTCGGATCCTGACGCCATCGCGGTATGGGTTTAGAACGGGCAGATCCACTGTGGATGCCGTTCTCTATGTTAAAAAATTCGTGAAGGCATCGACGCGGGACAGGAAAGTGGTTATCCTGGTGAGTCTGGATATCTCTAACGCTTTCATCTCCTTGCCGTGGGCCGTAATCGTCAGGGCGATGGAACGAAAAAACTTTCCACGCTACCTGGTGACCATCATCAGGAGTTATTTAGACAATAGCGCCGTAACATTTACAGACAGACATGGACGCGCCGTAGGAAGACAGGTGTATTGTGGGATCCAACAGAGATCTGTTTTGGGCCCTACGTTGTAGAACATTGCCTATGAGTGTACTTCGAACTCCGATGCCAGGTGGCTCCTATGTTATCTGCTATGCGGATGACACGGCCCTCCTGTCATCGGGATGGGACCTGTCTCAAGCTATCATGAACGCCGAACAGGGCTTGGACGTTTTGGTGAAGGAGATCGAGAGATTAGGTCTTAAAGTGGCGCCGCAAAAAACGGAGTCCATGGCCTTCCCTGCCTCTGCCTTCTGCAGACGCAGGAATGCTTCGCCCCCTAAGATCTGCCTTAGAGGTGTTCGTGTAGAAATTAGAACCAGCGTTAATACATGGGCATAATAATAGACTCAAAAATGTCGTTCAGGCCCCATTTCGAGGTCCTAATCCCTAAAGCGGAGGGTATCCTCCGGTCATTTAGGAGGCTCCTTCCGAACCTTCACGAATCGGGGGAGCAGAAGCGACGCCTCTACGGTGGCGTAATCCGCTCGGTACTCCTTTATGGGGCGTAGGTGTGATGGCACGCCGTCGTGGAGGACATAAGGATCGGGCGGGCTGTTCGGAGCCTCTAGAGGAAGATGGCGATCCGGGAAGAACAGTCTCCTTCCACGCGGCTATGATAATTGCGGGGATTATTCCTCTCGTTCATCTCGCACCCCAACTGGCGGAGACGTATGCAGCTGTTAGGGATGCGGAGGAAGCTGTTTCCCCCCGTGTACTAAAGCTGTATTGGGTGCTCTTACCAGAAGGAGGGCAATAGAAGCGTGGAAGGCTTAGAAACTTGGGCTCATAGGAGCACTAGCAGCAACTAGTCGACTGCTGAACCCGGCGTGAACAGATGCCAGGAATGAGCTGATCGGTGCGATGGGGGGAGGGCAGCTAACCCTTCCCATGATAGTCACGGTCTCCCTGACAGTCCCGTGGGTATGGGCGGCCATCCAGACCTTCGCAGGGCGGGTCATGCGTGCAAAGAAGGACGTTGAGAGACGCAGGGAACGGACGCAAGAAGAAGGACGTAGGAGTGAACGTGCGGGTGTGTATGCGGACAGAAGTGTGAGCGATAGGCCACATAAGAGAGTAGCTCCAGTGCGGCCCCCTTGGGCAAGGCTCCGAACGGGTCAGGAGACGCCTGGCTCACGCGTCGCTTCCCACTAGGTGTGAATGTGTGTATACGGGCGTGAATGGGCCTGGTTAGCGCACCATGGGATGGTGAATTTTATGTCCCTTTTTAGGTTCGGCCAATATGTATGTATATAGGTAGGGAGTAATTGCGTTTCAGGGGACTCGTGGAACCATGTCGAGTGCGCCGTAATTACAAATAGTTGTGGTAGAATGTAGATGAATGAATGAGAGCAAGGCGAATACCGGCCTGGCTCACCGAGGAGAGGTACTGGGCGAATTTGTAATACATTTATGCGCGATACCGCCCACCCCCTCTCTCCTCAGCGAGAAAGTAGTATGTATCGGGAAGTTTTTTAGTTTTTTAGGCGATCCGAACCTGAGAGTATGCTCAAGGGGGTTGAATCCGACACTCCTCTAAGTACCGGGCTCAGGGGGCCTATGAAGGTTTTTCCTCCTAACGAAATAAAAAAAAAAGCATTAGTAGGATATGATTAAGCCACGCAATCCTCAAACATCACATCGTACTCCCTCTTGGATATCGCTGACTGCGAAATCCTGAACTTACAACCGATCAACAATACCGTATATATGCAACTACTACAGACTGCCGACTACAACACTGTGAGATTTCTACAATATCGTGTGGAAATGCATTCACACACATCTATCGTTATGTGGCATGCATTCACACACATCTATCGTTCACAATGGACGTCGAGAATATTTTTTCACGCTAACGCATCAGTTGTGCCAACAGCTACACTCTACAGGCACACTCTCTCTCTCTCTCTCTCGGACCAAATGTCTTTATTTCTGGCGTAAAGAAGAACAGCACTGATACAAGCATTACTTTAAGTGGTTCCGCTACGACAGATGGCATTTGTAAGGGCTCCCAGTATAGTGACTTTTACGAAACATGGGACGACGTAGTAGTACAAGCATCTGTTAAGATCACGTTACGAGACTACTACGCCACTGTAAAAAGGAAAGCTAATCAGATACACCTAAAAACAGGAACCGTTTGTACATTGGACGAGGAAGCCTGGCTCAACTGAGACGAAAGTGAAACATATTGGTCAATCATACCTACCGACATCTGTGGCTTTAATGAATACGATGTTCTTTACGAAGGACCGGCAATGAAACTGACACCCGCCGAATCGTTGCAAGGACTTATACACGGTAACGATAAAAGATGTCACATTCGCATTAACTAAAACGAGCGAGTTCATTCTATGTGGATATTCTATAATAAAGGCAGAACATCCCAAATTATTCATAATCGAAACATCGCCTGGAAGAACTTTCAAAGGAAAAACGAAGACCTCCGTAGAGAACCTAGACATTTTCGCTTACGTAAACTCGAAGTTCATCTACGTAGAAAGTCGTCTCAAAACACAGCTAAATTCACTGTACGTCGATATCACTCGACAAAAATATGTACTGGAGCAACAAGTTCTCAAAAATGCTCTCTCTCTAGCAACGTTAGTACCCGATGAAATGGCTTACACCCTAGTGAAACAACCGGGATATATGGCTGTCATCGCATCAGAAGTTATATACATCATAAAATGTGTTCCAGTAGAAGTTAGAGTAAGACAAACGGAAAATTGCTATAAAGAATTACCGATTACTTACCGAAATGATTCTTATTTTCTCTCACCGAAGATACGCATCATTTTGTAGGAAGCCTCTCCGAAAGACTGCAACGAGCTGTTACCTAACATGTACAACCTACATGGAACATGGTACAGAGTCACACCAAAATTAGTGGAATCGATACCTCCGCCGGTAATTCAACCACTAACAAAGCCGCAATGGTGTATCGATCCGGAACACCTGGGAACAAGCGAAATCTATTCTAATGAAGACTTAAACAAACTGAGGTCTCATATAATGGAACCAGCAGAGAAGCCTGCTATCATCGATACGCTCGCCAGAGGAATCAACGGAATGCACATACCCTCCGGTAAAATTTCATTGTAGAATCTAATGGACGAGGAGTTACTGACTAAGATCGCATCAAGTACGGCACAACGACTTTGGGGCGCGTTTATAACATTTGGATTGGCAAGCATCGGAGTTTTAGCCATGTTCATGGCCATACGCTTAGTAAAATTTATCGTCGATACACTCATTCTCGGTTACGCTCTACATGACATCTATGGTGGAGCTTATATCTCTTAGAAGCACTATGGAGCTCGGTGACACATCTTCTTCTCCACCTACCCTGGCAACCGAGGCTACCGCCCTCGACGAAGAAAGAGAAGAGTACGCTGCTGATTCGAAACCAAGTACATTTTATAAGTTAAATACGTATTTGAGTAAAGAAAGATGTTAAAATGCACGAATATCTACGCACATTTTCAAATAAGGAGGAAAGTATTACATCCCGCACCCTTCTCACATTTAAAGTATTAATACCTGCAAATAAAACTTTTCTTATATCATTAAGTATAGGAGTAAATGGGGACACCTTATGCATTACACATTATATTATAAAATTTTTTCAAACTCTTTTATTAACACGTTCACGCCGGAGCCGATTTTTATGTTCTTCGCCGTGAGGCGGCGCTCGAATTTTTACCGCGTTTCATCTGGCGGCGCGCGATTATTACCTGTTCAGACCTGTATACGAGTTGTACGTTTGCTAATAGTACTTATTTTGCAAGTTGTGTTACTCGTGCGGTTTTTTCATCTTAACCTCAGATTTCTGCTAGTGAGTATAACTCGAAAGGCAGTTAGAATGTTTTTTTAATTTTTGCCCTTATAAATAATAGATAATATGGATATGGAAATAAGTGATTCGTCTGATGAATCTATCAATAGAAGAAGCAGGAGAAATGCATCAAGATTACGGAAACTTTTTTTCTCTTCAGATGAGGATTTTGTTAATGTAAACAGTGAAGTGGACGAATGTTCTACAGAGGAAGAAGATTTGATTTCTAAATCAGAGAACAATGATCATGGTGAAGAATGGCAGGAAGTAAAAGAAAGAAATTCAGCAATAAATGAGTATTCGAAAGAAGAGGAATTTTTATATGAAAACACTAACTGTAATGATCCTTTTACTTTATACACACTATTCTTCACGGATTGCATACTAGAGAAGATAGTTAAAGAAATAAATAAATATGCTACGCAATGCATAAATAATTCTTCATCTAGCAGATGAATGCATCAACAGGCCTAGGAGTCTGTTACAAGAGATGAACTGAATACTTTTATTGGCATATTTATTTATTGCTTATTATGAGTGTAGTGCAATTACCAGAAATTAGATTATATTAGTCTAACAATGACATGTATACGAACTCACGCATAAATAATGCAATGAAATGTGACCGTTTTTTATCCATTCTTAAGTTTTTACATTTTTCGAGCAATAACACAGTCAGATATGAAGATAGGTTGCACAATATTCGAAACATTGTTGAAACAATTGTGGATACCTTTAAGAGTTCTATCAAACCTGGCAAAAATATCGTTATCGATGAAAGTATGGTCCCATGGAGAGGACGTCTAGGGTTTCGTCAACATATCCCAGGCAAGCGACATAAGTATGGCGTAAAATTATACAAATTGTGTTTGCCTGAAGGTTACACTTATAATATCGAAATTTACGCCGGGAAAAATGAAACGATCATTGAAAAATCACATTCTCATGATGTATTAATGAGAATACTAAATGATTTATTATTTGAGGGCCGTATACTATTTATTGATAATTATTATACAAGTGTCCCTTTGGGTGAAGTGCTTTTAGAGAACAATTTGCTTGAAATATTTTAACAGAATACACAAAAAATAATAAATAATGATGTTATAAATAGAGCAATGTTGAATTATTATGTTAATTTTGTAGAATTTGAGTTACATTTACAATCTGAACCATTATGTTAATGTTATTGAACAAAATTTATGTATATAATAAGTTATTAAGTATAATTGTTATTAAAAAAGTGTTTATAATAAATAAACGTTAATTTTTCAACGTTTAATAACACAATCGAATGCGGGGCACCGGTGGCCCGCGCCGGCGTGAACGTGTTAATCAAAGAAGCATATAAATTAAGATCCTTACATATATAAATAACTAACCCAATTACATGACACATTCGAGCCCGAAGTAAAGGGATTCTCTATTATTACAAACTAACATTATTATAGAATACACACTAGCAAATAAGTAACGAACATACAAACGCTAAATTCAAGAGATGAATGGAATCTAAGGAATTTATGAAAGCGATGCCAAAATCCGGAAAAGTAAAAGGGACGCAGGAATTCAAGGAATTTGTGAAAGTGAAAACGCATGTGTTTTCCCGATAGAAATCTCTAAAATTCCATCTCCACCAAAGGGCCACGGCAGCGGCAGTCTCACTACGCACGACGGCGACATCCCCACTACGCACAACGGCTTCATCCCCACTGCAACACGACTTCGAACCGACTACTGCAGACCAACGGAGAATATAAGCAGCCGTAACGCTAACCTCTTCGGTTATATTGTTCAATCCTTCGACCACGACACATCGGTTATATTGCTCCATCGCTCGACGACTACACTTCGATTATACTAACGCACTGTTAATCGTTATACTACGTGGTTACTATAAGCTACGTCTCGTTCTTATACAAACTTCGTTTTCTTATATTTTAAAAGTCTATTGTACACTGTTACTTGGCAATTATTAATAAATTAGTTTTGTTAAGTTCAAACTCAGTGTTCGTTCATATAACCCCGGCTATGCTTCCCAGGCAACCTCGCGTAAATCTAAAGTCATTAATTTCTCTTGCGAGTCTCGAGATCTTCCTATAACACAGTCGACAAGTTCGAAGCTAAAAGGCTTCCATTACTCACGTGAAAAACTTCACCTTAATTATTCTTTAGTAGAAGAGCATACGAATCGCACGAGTAAAGGCAATAACATCCTTACCCTATAACTAGAGGTGCATACGAATCGCACGAGTTATCGTAACCTCGTGCTTGTAGGATACGTGCTTGTAGGAGAGCACGAGAAATGATGCCCTCGACATCTGAAATCACAGCCACGAATGGTAAACTTATGATCAATGTTCCAAGGCGAAGCATATACAACTATCGAAGACTGTGATATAAAAACTTTTTGTGTAATGTACTTTCTGTGTAATAGATTACATCAGATCTACAGAACCTATCCAACGCATGAACATTATAGGTCAGAATTACAAAACATTCTCATGCGTAATAACGAATCAATGATAGACTACATAGGGCGAGTTAAAGACCTGCACCAAGCCTTGATAGATGAGATAGGCAGTAAACAGGAATTAACTGTTTGAGGCACGGCGGGATTAAAAGTGTCCCATCTTTTTGATGTATTCCACGGCGTAGTGGGACATTTTTTGTCCCACCTCGAAATCTTGTAGCTGCATGTGCATAGGTTTATATTTCGCCTCATTTATATAAAGCAGTTGATAATGTCTTCAAACAATGTTACAAGTGTATTCCTTATGTTGACATTCAACAGGTAGTTACCGGTTGACCAATTGTTATACGGAATGTTTATTTCACCAACTTTTGTTTCTTAGTTTCATATAAAAAATCGCAGAGGTAAGTTAATTTTTATAAAAATTAGTTTTTCATAAGCGAGGAACGAGTTTTATAATGGTTAACTTGATTACAAATGATGAAAGAATGATGGGATTTTATTTGTCCCACCATGCAACTTGTGGAGTAACACAAAAAAGCAATTTTTCTTTATTGTTTATGTTGTATATTCTTAAAACTATAAATATAAAAGTGGTTTGAATATAGTGTAGGTAATTATTTACTCTTCAGCTTCAAAATGAAAAGAACAAATCACTCAGGTACTTCTTCGAAAATTTTTAACCTCAAACTGCATCGTCGTGGAAATTAAGACGACACGCGATCAGAAGAAATAATTGAAGAAATAATTTCAGATCAAGAATCTTTCATCGATCCTGAAACTGATAATTCTGATGACTCGAAATTATTCGCGCCAATACGAAAGAAAATACGCGTACTTTCATTTTCGGATGACTCTGAAGACGATATTCCTATGGATGGAACTACGCGGTCACCGGATCAGCAGAACTATACTGCCAAAAGGGGTAGAAAATGGTCACCTGACGGACAAACAATTCCAGCGGGAGAATTTTCTTCAGATTTTGGTCCGACTCGCTACATCACAGATTTGCCAGTCCCATCATCATATGACGTATGCTGTACATTTTTTATTGAGGACATTATTCAGTCCATCGTTTTTCAAACGAATTTATACGCAGTACAGCAAGGCAAAAGATTCAAGCCAACTGATGACCAAGAAATTTGCGCATTTATTGGTATAAATTTTCTAATGGGAATCAATAAACTCCTGAATTACAGAGATGCCTGGAGCTCTAAAACATATTTACGGAATGAATACAAATGTAAAATAATGAATGTAAATCGTTTTGGGTGGCTTCTCAGCCATATTCATCTAAATGATAATAGCTTAACTCCAGCAAGAGAAAGTGCCAACTATGACTATAAACTGTACAAAATTCGTTCATTTTTAGACAAGATACAAGAAAATTTCAAAAAAAAATTATAGTTCTGGACTCAGTTTAGCGATCGATGAATCTATGATAAAATTTAAACGTCATAGTTCGATCAAACAATATCTTCCGAAAAAACCAATCAAAAGAGGATACAAATTATGGCTTCTGGCAGATAAATCGGGTTATTGCTACAGATTTGATGTATATACTGGAAAAGTTGGCAATCAAATAACAAAAAATCTTGGTGAGAAAGTTGTGAATATTATTACTTCGGATTTAGTTGGAAAAGAACATAAAATTTATTTTGATAATTATTTTAAAAGAGTAAATTTATTAGAAAACTTAAAATCTAAACAAATCAATGCTTGTGGCGTTGTTAATAAAATGAGAAAGTATTTGCCATCCTTCAGTATAAATATGAAAAATCGAGGAGAATATGAATCATTTGTAAATGATACGGGAATAATAGCAACACGGTGGATAGACAATAAGCCCATCCTCTATCTTTCAAATTTTCACAGTCCAAATCAACTTTCCATAGTATATAGAAGAAATCGTATGGGGATTAGAAAATCGATCACTTGTCCTTCTTTGATCGCGGATTATAATGATAATATAAATGCAGTAGATAAATTTGATCAATTAATGTCTAATTACAGCCTTGATCGTTGGAGTAGGAAATGGTGGCACCGCATATTCTTTTATTTCCTTGACGCATGTGTTGTTAATGCATATATTTTATATAAACAATTGAGTAAAACAATCACATTAAAAGTATTTAAAGGACGAAGGATTTATTAGTCAAACATTTATAGATAATAGCGCACTAACTAAGTGTATCAATAACTTATTATCAGTCCAAATATGGAAATTCAAACCTAACGTTTCATTAGAAATAAGAAAGCGAGATTCAAATCATTTAACAGAACGTTCGTCTCGTAAACGACGTGCACTTTGTAGTACAAAAAAGGGGGTTCGAAAATTCTGGTCTTGTACTGTGTGCAAAGTGTCCCTGTGCGTGGGAAAAAATATGCGTTTTAACAAGTACCATACATAAACTCTTTAAGGCACGGTAGGAATATTTGAGCAGCACCCAATAACAACAAATTTAATCAACTATTAATATTTTGTTCTTTTTACATGATGTTATACCTTTATTAATGTAAATATACCAATTTTGTTTCATTTAAAACTCGATAAAATTCCTGTGCAACATGGGTCTATTTTTTATCTGAAATCCTGTGCCTCAAAGAGTTAACCGAAGACAAACAATGCGAAATCGACGATCTCACCTTACAAAGTTTCTGCGATGGTCTTCTGCTCAAATACCAGCGTTTGATAATACCGCGTCTTTGTAGAAACCTCTCAGACGCATACGACCAGGCATTAGAGTTATACGCTAAGATGGAATATGAGAAAGAACGTAGGAGAGATCTCTCGCCTCCACGAAATGCGAAATACAGGAACAATAACCGTCAGAGTAATAGGGAGAGGCGCGCTCAGGAACGATATAACGAATCACGTTTTCGAAACAATAGAAATAAATCCACACGTCCTCTTCTCCTAAGGAATGTATATATTGTAAAAGGATAGAACACACTCGGGAGGAATGCTTCAAATTTAAGAAAGGACAAAGGTCACAGAACATAGAATGACCTTTCAGGAATAGTCCACCCCCTCCTCGACTTCCTCACTCTCCTCAGCCTTCCACCTCCCGATCATTCCCTTACCGTTCCACCACCACTCCAAACACGAACTACCTCAAAGAATGCCAATATTATAAAAACTTCGGACATGTAATAGAGGAATACCGAAAGAATAAATGGTACGAACAAACAGAAAACGGCAACCTCCCTTCATTGAAGGACGCGACCTCGGAGGCGATCGCATAGATGTGTTCCATAAGAACAGTAAAAGTGGAAGAACCCTCCACGTCCGCACAATCAAGTTAAAAAATGACCCGAGTAATCCTTCTGTCGCCATAGCTTCCAAGGACTTGAAAACAGAAACAGAATTTTTAGTAGATACGGGATCTGAACCAAACATCTTAAAAATAGATATGGCCGATAACGATTTATTATGCGACGAGTCGAATAAAATAAAATTATCGATTTTTATGGCTATCCCGTGAAATTTCACCCCATTCCAAACTCCTTTCCTATCCTTCATGGCGACATAATAGGGTCGGATTTCTTTTAAAATACAGCGATGATAAATTTCATAAAAGAATAAGTAGAATAGCACAGAATGACTATGCAATATGTTAAACCGAGAAAGATAGTCATTGTGGCTCGCACTAGTAACATCCTAAAGATTAATATCAAGAAAAATAAAAATAAAACTGGCTATGTGCCAGCAATCGACTTAGGAAAAGAAATATTTGCGGGAGAAGCTTTAGTTACAAATGACAACGGCAAAGCTCTTATGAAAGGTTTCCAACACGAATGAGACAGACGTTAAAATTACGATACCAACGATCAAACTCGAAGAATTCGAGACGTGAATCTCTTATCAACCTTAGGGCATAAGAGGTCGTCTACAACGGATTCGAAGAATGACGTAATCCAGTCTTCAGCATCGCCATATAACTCCCCTCTCTGAATCGTCCCGAAGGAAGCCGACGCAAACAGTAACAAGAGATGGAGGCTCGTTACAGATTATCGAATGCTAAACAAGCAAACAGTTAAGGACAACTATCTCCTCTGGCCAATATTACCGTAACATTGGATCAATAAGTGAGCGCCACATACTTTAATACTTTCGATCTCGCTTCAGGCCTACATCAAATCTCAATGAGTAAATAGAACGCACCGAAGATGGTCTTCTCGACAACATATGGGCAGTATGAATTCACACGGATTCCCTTTGGCTTGAAAAACTCCCCGTCGATCTTCCATGCCTCATGAATTCGATTCTTACGGGATTACAAGGAAACGAACTTTTTGTATATCTCGGTGATATTATCATATATATTCCAGCTTTTTCACCGAACGCATTGTAAAATATCGCGATCGTTTAAGACAAGTAGGACTGAAATTACAATCAAAAAAATGCAACTTCTTACGAAAAGAGGTAACTTAAGGTTAAGAGGTAACTAGGTAATCTTAAGCCAAGGTGAAATACGAACGTTAAAACAGTCGAATGAAATGTTCGATTAAAAACGGGACAGCCCATGATTATTACAGACACGCCTGAGAAAGTGTTTGACAAAATCTCTTTAGACATCGTCGGTCCGATGCCCACTACGAGGACAAAAAATAACTATATATTAACTATTCAAGATCTGCTTAGCAAATATTTTCTCGCGATTACTCTCCAGCAAGCTTCTTCAGAGGAAGTCGCATTCATAAAAAATGTAATATGCCGTTTTGGATCATCAAAAAGAATCTTGACTGACCAGGACAGTGATTTTATTAGAACTAATGAAAGCAGTAGCGAAGAAGTTTCAAATAAATCACCATCACACTAACGCGTATCACCAGCGAACAAATGACTTCATCGAACGTTCTCACCACGTACTCATCGAGATCCTCAAGCACTTTATTACCAAAAATAACGATTGGGTTAATTGGGTCGACATAGCAATGTTCTCCTATAATACGAGCGTACACGAGAGAACGTAGAACAATTATATTTGGTCAACTAACTAGAACACCCAACGAGTTCACCTACAATGACTTACAGAATGAAACATACGCGAATTATTTGGGCGTATTAAACGAACAGCTCAACAAATCTTAAGAGGCAGCAAGACATAATTCAATCTGTTCAAAATATAAAACAAAAACGTACTATAACAAAAGGCAAAGAGTCGTTAATTTTAAAGTAGACAATCAACTGTATCTTTTAAAAAGAACGAAAAAGGGGAAATTCGATGATAAATATATAGAACCATTTGAGGTCATAAAGATCTAGGAGAAAAATAATATAAAAATATGTACCCACAAAAGGCAATCGTGTAGTACATACCAACCGATGAAAACTCAATAAGCAAGTTTAATTTCCAAGCTCGATAAGTCGACATTATGGAAATCTGCATCACCGACTCGCGGTTTCAGTAAGCGCAAAATGGCGCAACAGTCGCTATCCTTCCCATGATGACGATCGATAAGGCGGATCCCCACCACTACGATAGTCGATAAGAACTAGCATATAAGCAGCGCAAACTGAACTGTCAGTATTAGTCGTTTTTTGATGTCCCACGAGATCAAATATAAAATCTTCAATCGAAACCATGAATATTCTATTTATAATGCTAACTTTAGTAAGAATAGCAATGATCTTAGTAGGATATGATTGTGCAACAATTTCATTAAATATCTCCACATTTTCTCTTCTGGACATAGCCGATTGCGAGATGCAAAATCTACAAACTACCAACAACTCCGTCTACGTACAGCTATTACAAGCAGCCAACTATAATTCGGTTAAAGTACTGCAGTGCAGAGTAGAAATCCACACAATATTTCATTGTGGACTGCACTCCCACACATCCATCGTCTATAATGGATGTCTGGAGTATTTATTCACCTTAAATCACCATCTATGCCAACAAGTACACTCAACAGGAAGTCTCTCTTTGGGTCTAAATGCTTACATAAGAGAATTATTCAATAACAATGCAGATAGAATAAGTTTAACTATTAGCGGCACAGTTACAACTGATGGAACATGCGAAGGGTCTCAGTATAGCGACCCTTATGAAACTTGGGATGACGTAGTAGTCCTCTCTCAAGATAGAGCTACGCGACTATTACGCCACAGTCAAAGCAAAAGCCAATTATATATACTTTGGAACGAGAACCGTCTGAGCATTGGACGAGGAAGCTTGCCTCAATTCGGACGGAAGCGAAAACTATTGGCCGACCCTTCTAACCGATAACTGCGGTTTCCACAAATACGACGTACCATGTGAAGGACCTGCAACAAAACTAACACCTCCAGAATCGTCACAGGGTCCCATTCTTTACACTAAAAATGTTACTTTCGCTCTGACGAAAGCCAATGAATTCGTCTTATGCGGTTATTCTATAATCCGAACTCAACATCCGAAGTTATTTATCACGGAAACATCTCCTGGACAAACATTCAAAGGAAAAGCTAAGACTTCCGTAGAAAATCTGGATATTTTTGCATACATGAACCCAAAGTTTATATACGTAGAGAGACATCTAAAAACACAGTCGTGTTAACATCAGTATATATAGATATAACTAGACAGAAATTCATCCTCGAACAACAAGTACTCAAGGATCTACTCTCTCTAGCTACAATAGCACCAGATTCATCTGTATGCCATTTCAATGGCATACTCTCATGAAGCAACCAGCATACATGGCAGTAATAGCTACCGAAGTAATATATATAATTAAATGCATTCCAGTACAAGTAAAAATCAGGCAGACCGAAGAATGCTATAGGGAATTACCCATTTTCTATCGCAATGATTCATACTTTCGAGCGCATTGCCGAAGGATTGCAATGAACTACTAACAAATATGTATAATTTACATAGCATCTGGTATAAGGTCACACCTAAATTAATGGAGTCAATATCTCTTTTGGTGATTAAACCCTTAACGAATCCAAAATGGAGATACATCCATCCTGAACATCTCGGAACGAGCTGTTCTACCGAAGATTTATATAAACTACGGTCACACACAATGGAACCTGCAGAGAGAAACCTGCCATCCTCGACACCCTCGCCAGAGGAATCAGTGGCAGACAAATACCTTCAGAGAAAATATCTCTCTATAATTTAATGGACGACGAATCACTGGACAAGATTACGTCAAGCACTGGACAAAGTCTATGGGCAGCATTCATAACCTTAGAATCTGCAAATGCCGGGATCTTAGCCATTTTCATGGCCCTTCAATGAATAAAATACATTGCCGACACGCTCCTCCACGGATACGCATTACATAATATATATGGCAGGAACCTACATGTCATAAGAGGCTTATGGGGTTTATTGATTCATCTCCTCCTACATCTGGCTACTAAACATCCAGAACGCGAAGAACAATGAGCGACGATGCCACCTGAAAACATCACGGTTCACAAACGAATGGAAAAACCAATGGATAGCACGTCCAACCAGCTGAGCACGTTCATCGAATTAAATGCGTATTTAAATAAATGTTAAAACGCGCGTATATGTGTAAAGAAAGTATACTAGATTTGCCACGCTTCTCATGGCCCGCCATTCCATTGTCCTTTGTTATTTAAAAAATTCTTTTGTAACCTACAAATCGAGCCGTTAAGATTTGGAAGAGTAACAAGAAGGGCAGTAGAAAATAGAACGTAGAAGAGAAAAGTAACACGAGAGTTTATAAGGAAATTTATACTAGATAATATATATTAAATAAAATTTAAATAGTGTGAATGATAAACGTAAATTGTCGTTTCTTTGTTCACAGGTAAGACTAATTAGCAAATAAGTATTAATTAACAAATAAAGATTTATTACTTTGTTCATATGTCAGAAACATATTTTCGTTTATCACCTGACATAATCAATCCGAGATATTATACATGTACGTACATTTTCTAATACGGGAAAAAGTGTTACGTTAGACGTCACTCTTACGCCTAACGAAAAGACGCACATTA